AGTCCCAGCAGAGTGATATGAATCAAAAAGGTTTAGGGAAGCAGGTTTGTCAGAGCAAACACTGCCTGTAGGTGGTCCCTCCTCTTCAACTCTCATTCCCAAAGTTCTTCTAGAATGCATTTGTTCATTCATCTCTAAATTAAGAAGTGTGCAGAATTCAATCTACTGTAGGGAAAAGAACACTACACCCTAACCATTAAACTGGTGATACTCCAGGAAAAGATAAGACCGCTGTTATTAGCTGATTCTTTATTTACTTACCTCTTGACTGCTGGGACCATTTATGAGTATAACTTTGTCTGTTTTGTATTATAGTCATAGGTAGACAGTTGGTTCTGTTAATTTACTTAATGGGGCCATAGTCTCTCTGCCCCTCTGCCTCACCCACACTGGGCTCCTTTCTGATCCTAGCACATGCTAATAAGCACTCTGCCAGCTCAGGGCCTTTGCACCTGCTGTTCCGTCTGCCTGTAAGAAACACTGTTATCCCAGGTATCTTCAGCGCTTTACCCCCCACTTCCTTTAGGTCTCCGCTCAAAAGTCTTCTCATCAGAGAGGCCACTCCTGACCACTTCATATAAAATAGTTCTCCGTTATTCTCTCTAACCTGCTTTGCTTTCCTTCATAGCACTTATCACCATCTAATTTATTATGCATTTACTTCTTGATTAATTTACTGTTTGTTTTCCACAACCAGAATGTAAGCAGCATGAGGGTAGGGACTTTGTCCTACTCCCTCGTGAATCTCAATGTCAGGATCAATGTCTGGTCTACAGTGCCACCCAAGATGTATTCGCTGAATAAATGACTGCCTGTTTTTAGTGGCTTAAGCAATGTATGATTATATAGCCAAGTGGAAACAAACACAGGCCTTCATAAAACTAAAGAGTAAAAGTTTAATTAAAATATTTCATTCCATTACTTAAAAGGTTATCCACGCGAAATACCTATCACTTTGAGCATTTTTTGTTTTCTTGCTAGAATAATGGCCAGACTTCTTAATGGAACAACTAAGAGTAATTGTCCTAAGACAAAGAGTGGGGTGGGTAGGGAGCAGGGGGATTTATACTACAGCCTGATAAAAACACTATTGTATTGTCTTTTAGTAATTTGTTAGGTATTGCTTTAATTAAAGTTATGTCTGTTCATTTCAACATCATTAAATGGTCAGGGAAATGCAAATTAAAACCACAGCGAGATATTACCTCACACCTGTCAGAATATCTATCACCAATAAATTAACAAATAACAAGTGCCTCCCAGGATGGAGAGAAAAGGAAGCTTCCACACTGGTGGTAGGGCTGTAAACCGGTGCAGCCACTAGGAAAAAGAACACAGAGGCACCTCAAAAAGTTAGAAATGGAACTACCATATGACCCAGCAATTCCACTTCTGGGCATTTATCCAAAAATATCCAAAACACTCATTTGAAAAGATACAAGCACCCCTTTGTTTATGGCAGTGTTATTCACAACAGACAAGATACAGAAGCAACCTAAGTGCCCATCAGCAGATGAGTGGATAAAGACGTGGTACATTACCTAATGAAATGTTAGCCAAAAAAATGAGTGAAATCTCGCCACTTGCAACAACATGGATGGGCCTAGAGGGCATTACACTGAGTGAAGGAAGTCAGAGAAAGACAAATATCACACCATTTGAGTTATATGTGGAATCTAAAAGTCAAAATACATAAAACAGACTCAGATACAAAGAACAAGTTTATAGTTGGCAGGTGGCAGGGGGCTTTTGGGAGGATGGGTAAAAAAGGGCATGGGATTAAAATGAACAAATTGCCAGTTATAAAAATAGAAAAAGTACAGCATAGGGAATATAGTCATCAATACTGTAAGTTATATAAATACCTAATCACTGTGTTGCATATCTGAAACGAATCTAATATTGCCTGTCGACTGAATTTTTTTTAATTATGTCTGTTCGTGTCTCACCTTCCACTAGAGTATAAGCTTCTTGGGGATATGGCCCATCTTCCACACTTTTTATTCTCCTATAATGCCTATCTGAACATGTTGCAAATATTAGGCAGTCAGAAAACACATTTATGTAATAAAAAATACCTGTGGGTATCCAATGAAATTATACTCTCTGAACATATATTGCATATGGCAGTAAAATAATAGTTTCTAAATCTATAATTGCCTTGCTAGAATACACTTGCTTGTTGACAAAGGTCAGAAATATTCATAATATTTAAGAAAAGGGGAACAGAGAACTTTAAAATATGTACCAAGACAAACTGTCCTAAAATTATCTTGCTTTAATTAGCAATAGTATCAACACTGCAGAACAGAAAAAGCAGGACACTGCCATCTGAAAAGTCCACAACAGTAAAAAAGATGATGCTACTCTTTCCGCCTGGACTTGCTAACTGAAATTATCTTCGTATGCTATGTCCAAAAGATTACCTGCACTTTAATAGGTTTATGGAAAAATACCCTGTGTGTATTCCTTCAAGTTACTTTCAGAAAATACGGTCAGGCCTTCTGGGTGGATTTACCTGGAAACTGACAATACTCAAGCTTTTAGGACCTCTCACTTGCCCTGGCAGGAGGTCCCAGCAACTGCTGGAGTATTCTTTTTCTTAAGAGCCCACACCCCTACCCCACCTAACATACACAACTGCGTAAACTTCAGGTACATAAAACCTGGATCTATGCCTGCCAGCCTTCCATTAGAATAGTAAGAAAACAAGGCTAGCATTGGCAAAAATGATCCAAAACTCAGTTATTAATGTCCAGCATTTCTTGGTAGTCCAAGCAGATTGAGGCAAGTGCGGTCCAAGGGTGTCTTTCTTTGCAGCATTTGTTAGTATTGCTTTTCCCGGGATACAAAATTAACTCTTGGAAACCATGAATAGATAAAAGCTACTTTCATTAAATGTATGTATATGTAATCCTAGATAGTTATCACCATAAAAATTAGGTAACGCATTGTAGTCAGACCAGAATTTAATGTTAATACTAAATTAGTTGTCCTTTTTGGTGCTAAGTATAACAGGTGAAAATAAAAACCCACCCATTTTCATTCCTAATTCGTTCAAGTCGTGTTGTATCACAAAACTAAACAGTGCAACCAAATGTTAATTGTGCAATTTAATTAAGGAATTACAGTAAGTCTTATCCTGTATTCCCTAGATTAGCGACCATTTCTGACACAAAGATCAAAACGAACCAAAAACCCTGCTGTCATCTAGGCTTTTGGCAACCCAAGTTTTCAAACTCGAGTAGTGATTTCTTAAATCGAGTAGAGATTTCTTAAAAGCCACAGAGAGAATTTGAGGTGAGCGTGGAGTATTCATGGAGTCATGCACCTTCCTACTCCTTCCCCTACGCCTACCCTCTTCCTGTGTCTGTAACCCTAATTCCGCTCCTGCGTGTAGTACGCAGCTACTTTTCGTTGGTAGGTAAAGTGGCACAGCTACCTGGTGGACTTTTAAAAGCATGACTGCGTGTCGTTAGATATGCCTACCCTACCAGTGGCTTTACTCTGAGGACAGGCTCTCCCTTCAACCCCAGGACCGGTCCGCAGTGCGATCCCTCTGCCCCCGAGCCCCTCAGTTTGGGGACGATGCCGGGCCGCTTCTCCGAGCAGAGGCCCTGGCGGCCCGCAGCCTCTGGGCGCCCTGTCCTTCCCCTGGAGCAGACACCCTCAGTAAGGTTTCCTTGGGGTTAGCCACACCACCAGGGCGAAGAGCTACCAGGGAAAGCAAAAAAGGCGGCCACTACGCACTTCGACTAAAGCACAGCCAGTTCTCAGCTCACGACGCGCCTCAGAGGAGGGGGAAGGGAGTATGGCCATCGAATCCCAGGAAAGGCCGCGGGACCCACCTCCGGCTCCCTCCTGCTCCCGCCCTCGGCCCCACCTCCCCCTGCCAGCACAAAGCCGTCCCGAAGGCAGGGGCCAGGCCTGCTGGGAGGCCGCCTGGACGCGACTGGACCCGGCAACCCTTGGCTCAGGCCGCCGATCGCCAGCGAGTCTAGAGCCCCCGTCCCGGGCGGGAAGGACACGCTTCCCGGTTCGCCCTTCAAAGCGCGGGAAGTCCACTTGGCCGCCCGGGGCCCCAACCTTTCCAGCCGAGAGGTCCCGAGAAGACCCGACGCAACCAGTACAGTCCCGCTAGCCACGCCCGAGGCGGCGGCCTCCAGCGTGGGGCGCCCGGGCCGGCCGGGCGCGCAGGGACGCTCAGAAAGCGTCCAGACGTGGGGAGAATCGGCAAGCTTCAGGCGACCCTTGGCGTCCCGCCGAGGCGCAAACTCGAAGCCTCAAATCAGTTCCCCTCGTTTTCCAAAGGCCCTGTCCTCGCGCACCAGCTTCAAGTCGCTAAACAGTGCGCGGCGAGCGGGTGGGGTGGGAGTGGGAGTGGGCAGGGGTCGGCGGGCGGTGCGGGACCCCGCGCCCCAGCCCCCGGTCGACCCCGCGCCTGGCCTCGCGTCCAGGCCGCGCACACGCACAGCCTCCTGCACAAGTGCGGGAAGATGGCCGTTTCTGCTTCAGTATAAAGGCTCTTTGTTGCGCTCACACAAAAGCCGCCAAGAGTCGCTTTTCCAGCAGGCCCTTTGGGCAAATCGAAGGAACTCAGCTGAATTTCCAAATGGCCCTGGAAGTCTGCAGCGGTGGGAGCGACTAAAGAGAGGGGAATAACAGGCCCCCCCAGCCTTCCTCTCCCCAAACCTCTGTCCATATCCAAGCACTAGTCTTGGGAGAAGGGAGCTGAGACCCTGCGTAAGGGAGGGAAGAGAAGAGGGGAACCCACTTTTCCTACCAAGGCCCAAAGGGGGTATTCGACATTCACAATACTGTAGGGTTTCTCCCGTCAACCAGGGTAGAAACCTAATCTGAAAAAAGTCCGGATACACCAAAAACAAAAAGAAAAAATAGCAACAATAGCAACTTAAAAAAAATAAAGCAAAAACATAACAAACCAGTTGCCATCAGCCCAAAGTGGTAGTAGCAGCAGCCGGCGCGTGTGATCCACTTACTTGTCCGACTCTTGTGACATGTTTGATCCAATGAACTCGCTCCCCTTTTCCTGGAGCCTCAGCCTCTGGTGAAACTGGACTTTCAAGTCTGTGCAGGTGAAGGTGTGTGAGAGCGCCCGAGATGGCAGAACAAGAGCTACAGGTAATTCTGCTTTTCCGTCCCCCCTCACCACTCTCGCTCGCTCGCCCGCTCGCGCCCTCACCTAGCCGGAAAGGTGGGATAAGGAAGGGCCCCTCACATGGGGCCCGAGCTCGGAGGCGGCCGGGCGGCGCGGCGTCCTCCCGGATCGTGGCAGTGGGCAGTCACAGAGCAGAAAGTGGCGGACTTGGTCGGCCACAGGTAACTTTCTCGCAAGGAGCTGAATTCTTTCACTAAAGGGTACAAGCCCGAGGGACGAGCTGCGCGGTGATTGGCTGTGGGGCTCCCTCAGGTGAGCTGCCATTGGCAGAGGCGCGCTCAGGTAAGGCCCTTCTCCAAGCGCAGGTAACTCACTCCGAAGTTTACCTGAGTGGAGCGGCGGCACGGGAGCCCGCGGGAGCTGAGGGTCAGTGCCTCGAGCAGACTTCACGCTGTTTTCCTTCTTCCCGGGGGCCGACCGGGGGTGTGGCGGGAACGGGGGGGAGGGTTGGGGGGCTTGGAGGAGACAAGGAACCAGGGAAAAAAAAGCAGCACCTGCAACCACTAGGGATTGTGGGTCGAACGGAAGGACTAAGGAGAGCTGAACTCAGGTATCCCAAGCCAACCGGAATCAAATGCGCAGCACAACCACAAGGCTTTTAGTGTCCACTTTCAAAGGACCGCTGGACAGTGTCCGCAGAGTACAGCGCTGAAGTTTACTTTGTGCTCAGAGGAGGGGAAAACACGGCGATGGCCGGGTCTGTTGCGTAATTTCATTTTTAACATTCTTACCCACAACAAACACTTTTCGTGTCCCGATGTGCAAAAAAACACCAAGTAGATTACAGAGTTTCAAAGAGGTGAGCATCCTTTCACCGGCCGCGCACGAGCGCAGCAGCGTAGTCTGGGTGGGGCGAGGAGACTTGGTTGACGAGACGCCGAAATGGCCCAGGAGCACCCCTTCCACGTCGACCCCGCAGCCCGGGATTCCAGAGCCGCCAACCACCGCTCGGCCCGCTCCCGTCGTCTTTTGACGTTTCCCGGCAGACATCAACATTTACACTGTAATTCAACAGAAGCAGCTACCACAAAGGTGCTTCATCTTTCCAGCTTAATATGGTTGCTACGGCAACAATTCAGGATGAAATTGACTTTCTCTGCGGTTCTGTCCCCTGGTTGGAAACAACGCGAATTAGCAAAGGTATAATTGATTTACAGTCACTGCCCCCAAAGGGTGGTTGTGGAAGTTTTGATAGGAATCTAGCCCACACGTAGGCATTGCGGAACTGAAGGAGGACATGAAATGCTTACCATACAACTTCTATTTTTATCTTTATGGATCAGATATGTCCTTAAAAATTATGTCATGAAACAAGGTTTCACTCTCAGCAAATGAACTTCAAAATTGTATTCTTTTTAAAGACTGTATAAGCACACACCTTTTTAAAGATAATATTTTAAGAGTATGCATTATGCACCCCTTCTCTGCCTTCTTAATCTCCTTTTTAGAGGGAACCGCATTCCACTTTGAACTGTGTCTTTTGTCACATACCTCCCGATTTCTAAATAATTTATGCTGCTATCTCGATTTATCTATTTAGTTATCGTGCTTTAACTACCTGTTGTCTCAGATAAGGATTTAACCTTCACAAGCCACCCAGTTTCCCCTTCTGCCATTCTTCCAAAATAGCTCTTTCACACTTCAGGGGTTGTGAGTCGTTGGTGACTGTGGAGTACCAGTCAGCAGAGCCTACTGGTGTAGTAAGGTTGTTTTCTTTCTTTTAAAATCTTTTCTCTATTTACTTTGTTAGGCATCCATCCTAATATTTTTTCTACAACTTATCTATCAAATAACTATCAATTTTATTTTCCAAATGATCCAACAATCAATTCCATTCCCCCCCCCACCCAATATCCCTCCAAATCTTTTATCCTCTGTCCCAATGGAGATGGAAATAATAAAGTGAAATGTTTCATAAGTTTGTAAAAGTCACTCTCTTATCTTCTAGCATCTGGTGTTGGTGTTGAGAATTCCAGTGCTATCCTTATTACATCTTTTTATGACGTGGAATTTTTCTTTCTGAAAAGTTTTAGAATAATTCCTTTACGTCTAATATTCTGAGATTTCATAATTATGTGCTGGGTACTCAATAGCAAAGATTTGCCTAAGTTCAAATCATGCTGCTACTACATGACCTTGGGCAAGTCTTTTATTCTTGCTGTGCTTTACTTTCCTCATCTATAATATGCATATATGCATCTCTATATATTATAAGGGGAAAAATAATAATTTGTTTATTGATATATCTCAGCCACTTAGAATAGTGCCCAGACACAAAGAAAGGCCTCAATTACTGTCCACTCATTTCTTTTTTGAAACTCTTAGTTGGATATCGAATCCTCTGGATTAATCTCAGAATTTTTGTCTTTCCTGTGGACATCTCTTCATGTTTTGTTCTATATGAGGGACTAGTTCCTTACTTTACTTTCTGCTGAAATTTTTTTTAATCAGCTATTCTAAGAGCTGTTTTCACATTTTTCGTTATTTTTTAAACACAATTCTATGATTATGTCATGGTTGCAATAATTTCTTCTATCTTTTGAGGACAGTTACTCTAGGGTTTTCTTCTGCTTTCTGCCTTCTCTCTGCTTCCTCTTTTCCCATGTATTTTAGTCCCATCATGTTAGAAGCTTTCTACTTAGGAAAAGCTCAATTGGTTAGAAAGTCATCCCTATACACCAAGGTTGGAGGTTCGATCCCTGGTCAGGACACATACAAGAGTCAACTGGTGAATTCATAAATAAGTGAAACAGCAGGTTGATGTCTCTCTCTCTCTGCCCCTTTCTTCCTCTCTCTCTCAAGAAAAAAAAAAAAGATTAAAAAAAGAAAGAACAAGAAAGTCCCACCAGAGACTCCATGTATAGGGAGTGAGAGAGAGTGTGCTTGCTCACCGGTGGGTTTGATGTATGGTGATCAGGTGAGAGCTGGTCCTTCCATAGGAGGAGCCTCCAAACATCAGAATGAAAGGTCTTTTCATTTAGGCTCTTCAGTTTTTCAATAGAAATATCTTCCTTCTGGTGCCTGAGGGGGTATTCACCTGGCTGCCAATATTCTGGAAGCAACTGAGAGAAAGGGGTCTGGGCGAGTCACTGCTTAGTATGCACTCTTCATGACATTGTTTTCTATGCTGTAGACACATTACTCCTGCCTTTATTTCTGCATGGTGTACAAGCCTCTCTCCTCTTTCTCCTACGGTAGTTGTGATCACCCGGCTGCAAGGAGTGGGACAGGGGACCTAAGGATCGGACAACTAAATGCCCACATTCACTCAGCCCCCTGCCTCTCATCTCTCCTTCACTTTAGGGGTCATGGGACCTCTCCTCGGTACGATGATCTGATGATCTCTGGCATCTTTAAGACCCAGGTGACTCTGGGGATTCACAGGGTATTTGAGCTGTTTCTATACTGACCTCTACATAACTTCTGCTATTCTGTTAAATCAGTTTCCACTCTTCCATTGCCCCATCTTTCAGAATTGTGTTGAAATATATCTTTTGCGGATGACCCTTCCTCTCTCCGCTTTGTCCCTGTGGATTTATTCTTCTACCTTCCTTTATTATCCTTTGCAGAAGACCATGAAGATAATAATTGTGGGTTGATCTATCCTCTTCAATATTAAGCCATTTTCAAAATTGTCTAGAAGTTTTTCTCAAACTGTACCAACTTTGATTAGATAGCATAGTACCCCCCAATTGGCTTTCTACTGCTTTCTACTGATTGGTTAGGTTAGTGAACGAGAAGGTCCTTATGAACAGTTTTAAATTGTCAATCACGGAATTACCTTAGTTACCTAAGGGTTTTGATTCTTTTGACAGAAGAATTATAAATGAATGGGAATGTTCCTGCCGCACCCATCATGGGAGAGTACTTCTCTCTCTCTCCAAACACTTGTAACCATAGATACTTGAGTGTGGCAGTGGTCCCCAAAGTGTGGTTTCTGGATGGACCACCAACATCAGATCACCTGGGAACCTGTTAGAAATGCATGCTCATCACCTCACCCCAGACCTACAGTAGCAGCAACTCAACAAGATAGGTAGCAGTTTGTATTTCTAACAAGCCCTCCAGCAGTTCTGATCAGATTAAAGTTTGAAACACCCGAATGTTATCCCAACAGGAGGAAGTAGTACATCCTTAGCCATTGAAGGCATTCGTCCTAAATTATGCTGGATCCAGAGTTTTCCAACTGTTTTCAATAACCATGAGGTAAGAGTGGATTTTACCTGCCTTGATTTTCCCATTACCAAACTAGTGATTTTTTAATATAATGGTTGACCATTGTCCTTAATTGGAGCAGTTAGCACATTAAGAGAAAAAAATAAACCTGGTATCTGCCACAGTATTTATCATAGACTTTGGGGTTTCAGCACAGTTTAGTTTAATGGTGATTTTATGTGGCCGCAACAAAATTAATTTTCATATAAAAATTAGTAATAGGAGAGTACTGTTCTTAGGCTAAATTATTTCATTTATGAAATGTAAGTTATAGTTAAATTCCCAAGGAAGAAAAAATAGTATTAATTCTGGTTTTATTTTAGTAGTGGTCTTTGGCATCTGTTATGATGGCTAATCCCACTTTTCTAAAGTAAAAAATACAGTATTTGATGCTAAATTGTCATAATGGCAAGTCTCTTACAGTGAGACTTGGGGAGAAGGATGACACTTCTGCAGCACCTGGGCAGAAATATCAAGTTTGAAAGGGTTACAGTTCTAGTCAAATGCACCTGCTTGTTGCCTGTTCGCCCCTGCCATGTTCTCATACACAGGGCCGTTATAATAGGTCTGACATTGAATTTACTGTGCAGCCAATGATAAGTGGTATCTCCCAGGTTGTTTTGCACTAAAAAAACACTAAGTTGTTTGATCATCTATTATCCATAAGAAGAAATTTTGCAAAGAATGAAATGTACCTGGATGCCTGGTTTTGAAATCAAATAGAGATTTACAACTTAACCAGCTGAGTTATGGCAGTTCTCTTGCAGTTTGAAGCCACTTCTGTTTGTCATGGTTGCATGGATATGCATATTTGCATGAACACTTACAGTTTTTATGAAGGCTCTTGAAGTAGCAGTGTGAAATTCAGCTGCCAGCTAGCTGAAGTTTGCATATTTCCTTCAGGATAGCACACGTTTCTGTTGTTTGGGCTGGCCATTGGTAACTCTTCAACAGAAAGCATGGTCCTGTAAAAACATCGTTCATTGAATCAGAGAAAGCCTAAAAATGAAGTACAAAGGCCAGAACAAAAGCATA